ACTGACATTGTTACAAGGCTAAACTGTTCTTATAATTGCAATCCAAGATCACTGATTTTTATTTTGACTTAATTGCTCTCTTCTCTGCAGGGGCTCCTGTCCATTGATCCTTCAAAGGCAGCTGATCTGGTTGCAATCCACTTTGCAGACGAGGTTCAGCCCATCATTGACAAGCTGGAGGTAAAATGCTTTGCTACAAATGTCTTCCCTATCTTAAAGAATTCCACAGAGTGATCATCAAGAGCCAATGTGAGATTTGCTGAGATTGAAAGAAATAGCCAGTACTGCTTCTAATGCTGGATGGTAGTGATTTATCACTCAAAATAGAAATTAGAAGGGTGATAAGTGTGAATGTTTTATTCTTGAAACAATACAAGATAATTGAGTTTGAATAACTCAATTTTAAGAAGAAGAATGAGGTTTTTACCAGTAACTCAGTACAAACACCTACCTTCTGAAGTAAGTAAATTGGGAAATAACATTTTTTATATTTTCGTATAATATCATCCAGCCGCTATATAACCCTGCAACTCACAACTGGCAATCCACTGAGGCTGAGCAGGTGTGAGTCTAGCTAGAATCTGGATAGGAAACCTCCAAACCTCCAAGGAAAGCTAAGTTTGCTGCTGGAAGAGGTGTTACTGGGACCAATAGAGAGCACTCACTCTGCGGTCTGTTTGAGTCCTAATACCCCAGTATAGTGACGGGGACACTACTGTAAAAAGGCGCCATCCTTCGGATGAGACTTAAAGCTCTCTGTGGTCATTAAAAATCCCAGTGAGTTTCTCAAAAAGACCAGTGATGTTGCTGCGGTATCCTGGCCAAACTTCCCCCTGGCCTTTACTAGTCATGGCTTCCTAATAATCCACATCTGTGAATTGGAGTCATTACACCAAAGTGCTACACATTGGTGGTGGATGGGGGTCCCCATTACCTGTAAAGCACTTTGAGTGTAGTATCCAGAAGAGGGCTATATAAGTATAAAGAGCTGTTACTATATAATTTCAATCACCACAAATCTAAACTTAAAAATTAAACTTCTTCCTTGACTAATCTATGAGGAACATAGGCAGATGCATATAATCTCAGAGATTGCTATAATCAGGCTTCTCGTTTTTTTCTTACACTATAATGAGAATATTATGAGCCAAAATACATTGTCTCATATTTTCAAGTGACAGTCAATTACTAAAACTAACATTCCAAACTAATGCTCTTGAATGCAAATACATAACAATTTGGTCACAGTTGTTTTCTTTCTGCTTCCACAGTTTCAAACTGGAAAATGTGGATTTTTTTTTTCTAAAAGAGCTTACCTAGCTTCCTTTAGGAAGCTGTAATTCTAACTGTTGATAAACTATAAGAAACCCACTTGATCAGACACATCAGTTTGCTCTTGCACTGTTTGAAAGATAATGGTATCTAAACCTGCCGACCCCAAATTTAATTTTCCAGAATTCTAATCAGTATTCATTGAATATGAGACAGCCTCAAATGTCTTGCAAGTAACTGGTTGGAAATGTTACAAGTAGAATTATCTTAAGATATATTTAAATTAAGAAGTATACAATTGATTTTGTGTTATCATTACATTGCTGGGTATCTACTAGTTGAAACCTGTTTTTAATCCTCAGTTATCCAAGACCAGTGAGCTGGCAGTTTTGAGATTTATTAAGAAGGCATACCGTTATTTACTATACTAGTTATTTAATGCCTTGTGAATACAGAACATTTTTCATGCTGTCCTGAACTACGAAGTCACCTCATGATGAATATGCATGCTGAGTAGGCTTGAAGTGCTGCTTAGTAATTAGGTGTAAAGTGTAGAATATGATGCATTGTAGTCTACTGAAAGATCTTTGAAGCTTATTCCATGGGTCTTAAGAGATGAAAAACTTGAAAGACTGTTCCCCTTCTGCCTGCTGCCTGCAACGTTTGCCAATTCCATAGGTTGTTAGCATTGTCACTTTACAGACCTCATTGCAAAACATTTCTTTCAAGTTTGGTCTGACATAAAACAGCTCTACTGTGCCTATATACCAGTGTGTTACACCAACATAATGATATGTTATAAAGGTGTTCTCTTGATAAGCAAAATTATCTTTTTCTGTATTTTCTTTCTGGGGTTTCACCAGGCTATGCCAAAAGCATTTAGTCTATATCCAAAATGTGTATATTTTATAATTAATGTGATTTTTTCCTTTATGCTCACAATAGAAACAAAGCTACTTAACTTCAAAAAGGTGATTAAGTAAGTTGTGCTCTGCACAGAAATCTTGTTTCCAAGTATTGCTCTTACTGTACCTTTCGATGTCCTGAACCCATAAAAGATTATATGTTGGGTGAAATGGTAGTCCATTATCAAAGTATTAATAGGTTCCTGCATGCTCCAGGTACTGTTAAGAGCTTCTCATTTGTCACTTATAACAGATAAGATGTTTAACTGGAGCAAGATCATTTTAATGGAAACATGGAAACACGTTCATTAACAATAGTCATAGTAGTAGAGATATAGTGTTAATTTATATATATATATGTTCAAGCTGTATTTTTGTACAAGTATAGAAAATTAATGGAATAATGGCGATAAAATTATAAGAACAGAAGAAAGGTGCAAACAGAAGAATGACATTCTGTCTGTCTAGTTCATTTGGGTCGGTTAACTCTGACCTGACTCTCCACCTTTTTCCTGAAAGAAATGAGGGTGTGAGCTTCAACCTCAATACTGGGTAGCTTCTTCCAGACTCCCACAGCTTCCACAGAAGTTCCTCCTGTTTTCATTTTCAAATGCAGTTTACCTTATTTTCCCTGTTTCAGTGATAATTCTGAAAAAGGTCCAAACATGGAGTATTCCTATTTGAAATCACAGCTGAAAACAAAATTTGTGTAGGCTGCTTATAATATTTGCAAAATGTCCTAGCCTGATAGTGTTTGGTAGTCTTTAAAGCTTTATAGAAACAGTTATTCTGTGGTATTGTAATTGTGTCTTTCTATATTTTAATATTAAATACAAGTCATTATCAGTCTCATCATTTATATGCACACCAAAAAGGTTATGAATGCATTTAATCTGTTCTAGAAACTGGAATATCACGTGAAACATTTTTCTAGGTACTGAAATTACACAGTTACAGTACCTATGCTAAAATGGGATGTTGTACCTATCAACTACATTTATGTACCTTAATTTAATCAAGTTTTGTTTGTTCTGAGTCTATAAAGATTTCCACATAACTATCAAACCTGACTTTTTTCCTTGCCCTATTTTTAGATCACTCTGCAGCTAATAACAGTTCAAACAATTCTTAAATCACCAACATCATTAGCATAGGTTTGGCCTGATTCCTTTCTGTTTGTCTGAGATAGCTATATCTCCTTAAACTAACTTACAGTAGTTCTAATTTACTCTATGTGCTTCCAGCACAGGATGTTGTTCTCAAGATTTCAGTTCTGGGCTTCTTGCTGTTTATTGAAATCCAATAATGGATGCATGTACATTTTCTAAAAATAATCAGTGAAAATGCACAGAGTTCATTAACTGCCTCTAAACAATGATTAGCAAAATACAGCCCCATTAAAGTACTTTTATTGACAGATCCATTTTATAGT